GTTCAAATACATATCAACATATAAATATAGACACAGAAGCTTCTGATTAGGAACCTCTATAGTCTTCGTAGCGATCGATCTTAGGAAGGGTAGCCCCAGCCCCCTCTTCTCACAGAGACCTCCTCAAGTCCATTCTATTCTTTGTACTTCCTCAGTGCTTAGGAAACTTTATGTCCAGTCTGAATTGTGCAAAACAAAACTGACGCCACTGTTGATCCATGGCGAAAGCATGCGGGGCAAGGGTGAGGAGGGGCAGGGGAGGGAGGGGGTCATCGCTCGGGCTCAAGTTCTTGCTGCAGCGGGCGCCTCTTCTCATGGCAATGCTTCTTATGGGCAGGCCAGTCTTTTTGCTGGCACTGGGAGCCACAGTATCGTGCCACCTGGCACCGCCCACAGATGTTGAATTCACGCAGCTGAAAGGTTTACCAAGAAATAAGAGTCAGCAAACGAGAAAAAGGTGGTGAGAAATGCTGCAGTCTGATCAGTTAATAGTAGAAATATTGATGTTACTTAATATCCATTATACTGAAGCACACAGGAATCAGCCTGCAATTCCAAAATAAAAATCCACATTTACAGTGAACAAGGTAGTCAACCTATCTGAGTTGACGTTTTCTTATTTCAGACCCTTACTCACTGAAAGGTAGTGACTCCAGCTGGGGCAAAACCACATGTTCCAACAGGAACTCTGACACACAAGGCGGCCATTCTATATACAGCTACTGCTCAGATTATATGCTGCTGCTACCAACACCGTATACCCCTTCGTCCAACCAGGATGAAAGACACCTTAATGTAACAAACATGTGACAAACTTGGAAATGCACTGTCCAGCCTTAACTGTTGTTGGTTCAAATTCTGGAATTCACTCCCTACCAACACAATTCATATACATACAGCTGCAGTTCAAGCAGGCTGCTCATCACAATCATCTCAAGGACAATTAGGGACGGGCAACAATCACTGACTGCCAGTAATTCCCACATCCAATGGGAGTTTGAAAAAAGCAGTACAACAAACACATCAAGTCACATTACTAAAGAGGTCAGCTTAATCCTTACAAATCAACATTAGCATTAATGAGAAACAACACACAACTCAATATCACTAGATTGGTAATCTACAGGCCTGGACCAATAATTTAGAGAATTCAGGATCAAATTTCTTAATGGCGATTTGGATTGAATTCAATCTGGAAATAAAAGCTGCTGTTTCCATGAAAAGTGACCCTGAGGCTGCCTGCTTGTTGTAGAAACTTACAGCACCACTCACTTACATTCCTAACTTACCCCCATCCTGTCACAGTTTTGGATACACAACAATCCAATGTGGTTGACTCTCAACTACCCCACATTTGAGACAAGCTACTCAGTTGAACAGAATCATCAAATGACTATGGACTACAATGGTTCAAGATGAAAATTTTCCAGGAAAATCCTGGAATTCCCTTTAACAGTACTGAGAGTGTACCTGTACCAAATGCAGCAGGACAAGGCAGCAGCTTACCACCACCTGCTCCAGGACGACTGGGGGCAGGCAATAAATGCTGCAGACAGCAAAGCCCATATCCCCTGAATGAATGAAAAAGTCAAGTTGAAGATGGGAATCAAAATAATACCCTTTCCAACAATGCGAGTTTTGTTTTAATAAGTGCAGCATCGGTTTAATAATGCTTTCTCAACTCTGCCCCAACTGCAGAACAAAAATTATCATCCCAATGAGATAGTTTGTCCCAACTTCACCCATGTGGCCCTAGTCTGTCAGTGTCATTAAAGCCATGACTAAATTGTACTTCAGACCTATCAGTAGTGTGCTGAGCCTGCTCACGCTAAACCTTGTGAGAGCCCTACAGACAGGAGACTAGATATGGGGAGAACACAACTTTTAACAACAGTCTAGGCTGGTTTCAAACAAATTCAGGGACTGAAACGACAACATCTTAAATACCCAACACCACAATAGGTAAATCCCTCTCCCATTTTTAAATAGAAATATCAAATCATCACTAAACAAAGGAATCCAAAACATAGGAGGGAAATTTAAGAGACTGCTTAATATTAGAAGTGTGACGTTAATGCTGGTACCTGGCAGTACCTCAACTATTTGCATTCGAGAGCATCTCTCATCCTGACATCAAATAAAACGTAGGAACAGGATGTCATTCAGCCCATCATCTCAATAACAGAAAACAGCAAGTGGGCAAATCCCTCATTCACAACCTGAACGAGGTAAGATTTCAATGGGACTACATAATATTTTCAACTCATGCAGAAAAATTTTTCCTTAAAATGTAACCTGTGTCTTGCTTATATGATTCAGGTTATTAGAAGCAGTCACTGACTGCCCAGCTTTGTGGTGGTGAAGTCACATTTCTGCTAATTCATCTCTTCACTGCCGAAGATATCCTGAAAGATGTCCAACAACCCACAGGTTATCCTGGCCCCTGGAAGTGAGACAGGGTCACAGAGTGAGATGTAGAATGGTGAGGAAAATTTATTAAATCGAGAAGAACTGACCACATCAAGGACAGTCAACCGATGATTTCATTCATGGCAGCCGTAGCCAGATTTGAGCACCACACAGAAGGTATCATTTTAGTGCAGCACACAGTGTGCATGGTCAGAAGGTACCAGTCTAGTTTTTAAGAAGATCAGGACTTGGTCTTCTGGTCAGAATTCCTCCCTAAAAAGGCTATTTAGTCATCTGAGATAACAAGGTGTAGAGATGGATGAATACAGCAGGCCAAGCAGCATCAGAGGAGCATGAAGGCTGACGTTTTGGGCCTAGACCCTTCTTCAGAAATTTAGTCATCTGTTTGATTTGGTCTCAATGGGATCCTGCAAATAGCAATCTAACTGTTGTGCTCATCTACGTGACCACTGTAGTTCAAAATGAATTCACTGGATGAGACTGAATTAAGCCACAATCACCATGCCTTGGATGTAATGTAATGGTCCTATCACTAGATGGCCTTTGAGACCAAATGACAGTCTATATATTTTCCTAACCAACCTGTTCAGAGATGTTACTACACACTTCTGGAGTACATGGGACCTCAAGTCAGGCACTCTGTCATTAGCACAGTCCACGTAACTGGCTCCAACCACCGGCTGCTATGACGACGCCCCAATATCTGAAATTCCCCAGTCAAAACCTCTAATTTTAAGTCACTCCTTTAAATCCACTAGTGTGACCAAGCTTTTGCTCACCTGTCCCGTACGGCTGAAAATTAAATTTGTCTGATTGATTACATTCCTAAGAATCAACCAAGGAATTGCTTAACCATGTTAAAGACACCTTATAAAGACATCCAGCAACATCTTGCAAGCAATGAGTGCTCACTTCTTAACTTGCACACACACCTGCTTCTCCATCATAGTGCACGGTGGGTAATGGCATTCATAATATGTGCACGAGTCCTCCTCATCCTCCATAATGTCCCCATTGGCATTGTAGTAACGTGTGAGGTTCAGCTCAGGGAACTGCTCTTCAATGGGATCTGCAGGCACCTGCTGGATTGCCAGCCAATAAAGACTCTGCTCCCTGCACGCAAAAGAAGCCATGAGTACAACTACTGGTCACAGACTGCACACACAGGCACAGCATTAGTGGTTCAGTACACTGGAGGCAAAAACCACAAATTAAACTGCAGCTTAAAGAAAAAGAAAATTTTGTTTTTACTGCACAGGAGGCGGCCACTTGGATTGTCATTCTGTATTGTTTCTCCGAATGTGTATTTCGTCAGGTACCATTCCACCAGCCTCACACTGTACATACCTCCTCTTCAGACAATTGTCTAATTTCCTTTTGCATGCTTATCCACACACTCAAGACAGTGCTTTCCATGCACAAACCACAACATGTGAATACATTTTTCCTCATATTACTCTTGTTCCCTGATGCTTTCACAATTGGAAACAGTTTGTCTATCCACCTTGTACAGACCCCAAATCTCCTCACAACCTTTCCTTCAAGGAAAGCAGCACTAACTCTTCCGATTTCTATCCAACTCTCTTAGCCCTGGAACCAATCTCCTGAATCTTTTCTGTAGTCTCTAAAATCTTCCCAGATTGCCACGCCCAGTGCTGGATACAATATTGCAGCCAAATCCAAACTAATGACTTTTACTAGCTCAACATAACATTTTTCCTCTAGTACTGCATGCCATTAATAAAGATCAGGATATGGTATGCTTTACTAACTTCTCTCCCCCACCCCCGTCCACTTATGTACTTATACATTAGGTTCCTGTGCACTTATAGCACTTTTAGCGTGATAAACTTTAAATTTATATTGCCTTTCCATGTGCTTCCTACCAAAATTAATTACTTCATATATCTCTGCACTGAAAGTCATTTACTACTTTTATGTCCATTCCACCAACTTGTGTATGTTCTTTTGAAGTTATACACTGTACTTAGCTCACAACGGTTCTATGTTTTGCAAAATCTACTAGCTCTGCAACCATACAGCAAGGTCTAGATTTTTGATTTTCATCAGGAAAAGCAAGTGTGGCTACACAGATCTCTGGGGAGCTCAACTAAAATCCTTGCCCAAGCAACAGAAACATCCACGTTGCTGCTATCTCTTTCGTTTTGAGTGTTATAACTTTGGTCACAGGCCTGTTCTGTGGCACTTCAATCAAACACCTTTTGGAATCCAAGTCCACCATATCGACACCACTGCCCCCAACAAGTGTCTCAAAAAAATTCCAGGTTAAACATGATTTTCCCTCAAGAAATCCATACTAGCTCTCCTTCATTAAGCTATATTTGTCCATATAACCATTAATTTTGCCTCAATTTGTTTGTGGCTAATTCCCCTACAAAGTTAAACTGACTGGTCTATAGTTGCTGCACTTATCTCTACAATCCTTTTTGAACAACGTTGTAGTACTTATAATTCTCCAGTGCTACAGCACCATCCCTGAGTCTAAGGAGGATATGAAAATTATGAACAATGTATCTGCAATTTCCACCCTTGCACCCAAAAAGGCTCGGGGAAACATCTCACTCAGTGCCTTCTCAACTTCAAGTACAGAAAATTTGTCCAGTACATTACAATTTCACTTTTGAATATTCAATGTCTGAATTATCTTCTCTTTTACCATAGCCTTGGCAGCAGTATCTTCCACACTAAAGACAGATACAAATACTTATTTATACTTTACATATGAACTCTGCTTCCACGTGTTAAATCCCCTTTATGGTGCCTATTTGGACCCTCTCCATCTTTTATACCTGCGTACCATAAAATACTTTGGGATTCTCTTTCATGTTGACTGACAGTTTTTCCTTCATGCTACCTATTTGCTTCTTCAACTCAATGCTGAAAATTCTATTTTCAAATTAGTTTACAATTTTTTTTTTTAAAAACCCCTGTTCGATACCTGTCATAAGTATGTTTTTATTGCCTACTTTATCTGAATTTTTGTCTTTTGCCATCCAGGGAGCTCTGCAATTCCTCTTACATAACTGGTTTGGACAGCTGCACTTTGCCCCTGAAAACAGTATCTTTTGATTAAGTGAACTGTAACACACTGTAAACTTAACCTCAAGATTATCATCACTTACTCCATAAGGACTTCTCATCCTCCCACAGCATCTCTAACCAATGACCTACCTCTGTTTGCTAGAGATTTCCTCTGCCTTTGGCCTCCAACCCATGGGAACAAGCTTGAGGTTGTCCAGTCGGTTATCCACTGTCACGCTGTTGATATGAACCACCTGGAAACCTGGAGCAATTCCTCCTCTGTGCCGCTCCCTAGGCAAGTTGAAAACAGATAATGGTTATTAAAGCTTTTATGAATCTGGACAGAAAGCACAACCACCCACCAGTAAAACTATAAAGTTTACAATATACTTTGGTGGTTTTGTTTCTAGAATCACTTAATCCAAGGCACCATCCTATTGGCACAGCAGTCTCTCACATCATCTTCCCTCCACTCCCTTGCTTTATCTTTCCACCTATTGCCACACCAGCCAGATAATCAAACTCAAATGAATCAGTCTAAAAGATGAAACTACCCTGCTTACACCAGGAGCAGGTAGTTACCTCTGCTGCCTTTCCATACTTAAATGAGCCTTTCATGACTGCGAGACTTCCCAAAGGGCTTTATAGACAATTAAATACATTGTGAATTAGAAAAATCCGCAGCCAATTTGCAAACGGCAAAGAAATAAACAGCCACATCATGTTCGTTGAAATGTCGGCAAGAAATTGAAAGTGCCTATGTTTCACAGTGTAAGGTACCTGAATCCGGAGTGTATCTACAGCAGATTATTGTAAGCAACCAGCATGCTTCAGAGACCACAGCAGAATACAACGGAATCAACAAGACACTAACACGTCTCTTGTATAGCAACTGGAATTGTCGCCTACCAATTTACATCACTTCCTTAAAAACATGCACCACCTTCTGATGGTTGTGACTGGCCTTGCAGCAACATTAGCATGCTGGCACGAATGGCTGGACTGCTACCTGCAAAAGGTGGTACAAGAGGAAACGTTTTATGAAGAATCTTATTTAATTACAGGAATGCTGTTACTGCTGAAGTCAGTGGAATATTCATTACACAACTTTTAAGATTATGGGAATTGAGCATAGAAACAATAGTTCTATAGTAAGCTGAGGGAGGTCTTGTTTCACATGTTGCAATAGGAAAGGGCTGAAATCCAGTAGGTCCCCTTCTAGTTAAGAATTAAAGAAGAGAAACTGAGAAGAGATTAGAAAGAATTAAAGAGAAGATTGGGGGTTGGGGTGGGGTGGGCAAAGAACTCTAAAAGACAAAATTTTAAGAATGTGGAATTAATTGCCACAGTTCAAGCAGAGTCCATTATTTATTTCATAAAAGAATCACAGATGTTGGAAAAAATTATTAGAGGGTATAGGGAGAGTGGGATTAGAAAGATGGTTGGTGTGGAGAAAGATACAGATTTGCTGGATTGAGTGGCTCTTTCCTGTTTGAGAACACAGATTCACTATCAGGGAAGAGTGTACAAAAGGAAAACTAATGTTTAATTACCTCAGACTCATTTCTAATCTTTCTGTAAATTATAAAAGTGATGGACAGCATAATCTTCAACACACTAATCACTTGGCTCTGCATCATTCATTAGTAGACCTTCACACAATGAATGCATTAATTCTTACTCACTTAATATAACGTGGATTTTACTCAATGAATTTGCTAACAATCACACCTTCTTACGTATACAGATTGGGAAGAATACTTTCAAAACATTAGGCAATAACTTAGAAACTTGGGTGGGTTTTGCAATATACAAAAGGCTTCAACATGGTATAATTTTTGACATGTATAGAAAAGTATAAAACTCTACATTCTGTGCAGTTATAAACTTTGATATCAGAACAGCTCCCACCTCAACTAGCTAGAGAAGCTGTCTTTAGAGCAAAATTGCAAAAGTCATGCTGGTATCAAACCCATCACAAAACTAAAGTTCTAAATCCCAATCTAAATTCCAAAAGACAACCAATTACCCTTGCTGGATCAACAATGTCACTGGAGCACTCCCCATAAAGACAGCCTCGGAGATTTTGAACAGCACCTCACCCTACTGTGATACTCACCAGAGCAGCTCATGCAGAGGACGACCAGAACCCCTCCGCTTGCTGATATCAAACGCATACGCAAATATTTTTGCGCCATTTCCATCAGCATCTATTTCCATACGAGCCTGTGAGGGAATGAGACAGCTCATTAAAGAATGCAGACCAGATTCAAAGGAACTGTCGTAGGCCATTCAGCCACTCAAGACTTTACTGCTAACAGTCTGGACTACAGTGAATCTGTAAATCAACTTAATTTACCCACCTCTGCTTCATATTCCTCAAAAATATTCAACCTCATTCTTGAATATTTCAACTAACCCAAACATGTACAACCTTTTGGCAAAGGGAGTTTTCAACTGGTCCCTAAACGGATAAAGAACCTCAGACACCACTCCTAAGTGGTCTAACTCAATCTGATGAAAGAATTCTAATGCTCATCTCCAGGGCACCATAGATTTTCAACTACTTCAGTACAATAATAGATTGGATATGAATTATCCTGCATAAATCAGCACAAGGGCACATAGATTTCCCTTTCTGATCTACCACAAAAAAATTAGAATCCTTTAGAAAGCCAAATAAATCTCTGTTCAAACAAGTTTACAATGACCAAAAGCTCTACAAACCTGGAATGCTACAAAAAATAGCACCAGCCATAATCTGGAAATAATTTCTCTCGAAAATGCAATTGCTTTCTTTGCCAACTAATCAACGAGCAGACGTACAAGAACTTACAGATACAGAAACTACATTTTGGATTGGCTATGGCTTTTCTTGCACTACTAAATTGTTAAAGTATATCTCTTAGACAAGGTCTTGCTCAGAACTTTCTCACCATCATATGCCCACAAAGCAACAACCTGCATTTGGCATTACATCCGTACACCAACGTTGTCTCTAAGTTAAGCTCTAAAGGTCTGTGTATGGCAATCAGCATGCCGACACCATTCACAGCACTTACTTCTGGTTTTTGAAGTTGGTGTTGTGCATGGAACTTAGGAGTCAGTGCTAAAGAAAATGAATTGGTGGGAACTCTGCTGACCAGCAGGAAAATATCCCAAGGTGCTTCACAGGACTGTTAGCAAACAAAATATGACACCAAGCCATACAAGGAGATAACTGGGCAGATGACTAAAAGTTTGGGCAAAGGTGTTCTGGGCACATGATCAGGAAATTCTGACAAATTGCCAACTGAAAGCAAATTAAGTACAAACTTGTCAGTTATGCTACTTTGGACAATTTCCGGAGTACTGAAGCAAGCTAACAAATGCAACACATTGCCAGGCAAAAATCAGGTGCACACTCAGGTCCTGGGAATTTACTAAGTAATTACTACGTCTACCAAACAGACACAGCCAAAGGGACTCCACGTCAGTTTCGTGAACCTTTCATCTGACCAATAACACTCCACAAGCAGGTGCAATCTGAAGTCCAATGCATAGTAAGCTACTGTCAGCTGTCCTTCAATTCATTCTCTTATCATCAGACAGGAGGCAGCAGTCAAAGGAGCAAAAAACTTAGAAGTTTTAAAGGAATTTGGTGCTGCTGTCCACAGCAGCCCATTAAAACCTATCATCCTGTGCAAAGTCCTTTCAACAATGATAGGGACAGTGATGTAGTGGAAATTGAACTAGTAAATCAAAGGCCTGGCTTAATATGGCAGAGATGGGGGTTCAAATCCCATCATTCTGACTTCTACTGATTGGCAAAATATCTGGAATAAAACTCCCCTTAGTAATGATGACCATGAAACAATTAATCATTGTAGAAACCAATAATACCAGATCTGATGTATATGTGACTCGAAATCTAAGGTAATGTGATTGACTCTTAACTGCTTCTGAAAATGGCCTCCCAGTTCTAATACAATTGGAGATGAGCAAGAAATGCTGGCCTCAGCAGCAACCCACAAATCCTATGAAAGAATAAAAGTTCCATTCACGTAGCACTTCCAATATAAAACATTCTAAGATAGTTCTCAGGAGTATCCTGAAGCAAACTTGCACATGGAGCTACATTTGAATTACAATGTGGGAAAACCATCTAAAGTCACACCATTTGCCCAGTCTCGTGCAAGCAGACTCTGTCTGGTAACCATTTTATATCATTCATTAATGCTCTACGGTCCTGGGTGAAAACTGGTCACAACAGACCAGCTCATTTCCTAGCACTATGTCTAATATTAAACATAACTGCAACAAGTTCTATTCATGCAGCACCTTTAAGACAGTTTATAAAGAAGTGTGACAATTGAAAAGAAGGTCAACCAGGAGGCCCTTAAAAAGAGTAAAGAGTGATTGAGAAGGGAGAATGAGTGTTAAATTAATTTCAGGAGTCTGTCCGTGTGCCCTCTTACCTCAAAGGTATAATTCTCCACCAGTGGGATGTCTTGCTCATCTATTAGTGTGTACTTAGTCTGCAAACAGAAATAGATTCCTTGTTAATCTCTTTTTAAAAAAGATCAGTGTGGACTGTAGAAGCAGCAACTTAACCATAAAACCTGTGAACACAACTGGGGAGACAGATAACAACAGCCAGTCTGCAGCATAATGGTTACTAGCAGACACAAGGTCAAACTCCCAATTGCTGAAATGGGAAAGTCACAAAAGCAACCAGGGAATGAGCACACACTTGCAAGATTAGAATTAGTTCAAAACACACCATGGAACTCCAATCTACCTCCAGTGTAGATGGGTCAAAACAATGGGAACTGAATCATAATGCTAAGCAGCTAGCATTAGGCAATGGTTGCTGTGACAAATGCAACCCAGCATCTTCATACTGTCACACAGTATCAACCACACCTCTGCCCTCCAATGCCCCCCCCACCCCCATTGTTACCGATTCTTGTTACCCAAGAACTCCCACAATGTAACTCAGCAACTGCTATCAGAAGGATTATAAAACCGAATGTCATTGCAATTTCCTCCAGAATTCTCAAGGAGAAACAATTAAATCCCAACTCATTTCAAAAACTTGATGTTCAGGAACATTTCAAGTAGCCATAACTGGAGCAGAACAATGGAAGGCTATTTAGTTAGAGGAAGAGAGGCACATTTGTGATCCATAAGCACATTGCCAGAAACGCAAAGCAAATGATTATTTGTTACTCCCTGATGAGGCATTCTCAGACTAAAATTAACTAGCTTGAATTCTAAGCATCAACCAGTTAAGGAATGCCTCCTTGCTTTGTAAGTGGTACTATTTACAAGTCCTTTCTATTTGAACCATCAATAGTATAGCAGTGGGGGACCCCAGGCTTGTGGAAAAGCACATATACAGACATGCTCATGCCTAGCTGCCAACTATTTCCCGGTCTTTCTGCCAAACGCTTGATTGTTTTTGTGTCTCTAGAATCTTATCCCAGGATTCTCCCACCACATTTCAGTCAGGTTGGCACCCATTATGGAGTTACGGTTTACCTTCACATCTCTGCAGGGAGGAAAGTCCTCAACCTGGATACAAATAAGGCAGTATAATTGCAGCCTCAAGAGCATTTCTGGTCATTTGATTTTACTATAAAATGTAACTTTGGGTTCTTTCTAAGATCACTAAACTCTGAGGAAAATCTATGGGCAGCATCAGCAACCATACCTCCCAAAGCACTTTTCACAGTTCTCCCATGCTCACTCTGTTAAGGACTGAGACTATTCTCCCATTTAAGATATACGTCATGTGGAAACATCAAGTACTTGCACATTAGTTGTGGGACAGTCAACTGCAGTGTGCTGCTCCCCCCCATTGTGCCTCAATAGCATATCTCCAACCCAGAAGCATCAGACAATGCTGAATCTATCACACCAAAATAAAAAAAAGCAATTTGATGCATTGGGAATCATTAGGCACAATGAATTACATTTTACAAGCAGTTGAAGGATGGTGCACCTAAACTGAGACAGAGGACTGCTATGATCTGGAGATTAGATAAATCCTTGCAGAGATTCACCTAGGCTGTGCTGTGCAAGGATACACTGGATTCTAAAGAGCAAATAAAACAAAGGTTCACTAACTCAGGCCTCATCATCGCAAATGAATGAGATCTGGAAGCGGCTCAAGTTCTCTGGCTCAAGTGATGGCTACCTAAAGCTTAGTAGTACCTCATGTCAGAGTCAACAAGACGCGCTACAGCAGCAAAGCCTCTATCAATGTTGGGTTAGTGCAATTTTCGTTTACTTTTAGAAGAGGGATAAGTTCCTTCGGCCTTTGCAAAGCGGCAGTTTTACGTGCCGTTTGCTTTAAAGAGGATTCCTGTCCAGGCCATTCCTCACTGAGCCAAGTGTAAGGCAGGGAGTTGGGCTCTCCTCCACCCAGCAGGAGTGCAGCGCGGACACCAGGGCAAGCCACACGTGTCTCGCCAAGTCCCGATACCAGGCTGAGGCCAGGCCGTAGCACATGGCAACGGCAGGGAGACACCGCACCCCCTACAGCCGCTTCAGGTCAATGTGGGGCAGCGAGCGGGGGAAGGACTTCGGGAGGCACGGGTCCCCGAGTTCGTATTCCCGTCGGGGAGAGGGTGTAGGCCTGCACCCCGGCCGCTTGCTCTGCCGCTGGCCATATGGCCCCAACGAGCGGCCAGCAGGCCTCGGTCTCGCCCCACCCCCTCCCAACCCTCGGCAGCTGCGAGCCGGCTCGGGAGCGGCACACCGCCGACCGTTCCCAGCTCCCACATTGTCTCCTTCCCCCCCACCCACCCACCCCGGCAGTCACCTTGCCCGCCGCCCGGCCGAGCCGCACGATCCCCAGTTTGAAGTCGGACATGGCCCCCGCTGCTCTCCTCTCAGCTCCGCTCCGACACGCGTCCGGACACCGGCCCCGCGCCTCCGCGCAAACACTTCCGGAGGGCGCCACGGGGTCAGTGGTGGCGCCGCGGCCAATGGGAGGCCGTCTGGCGCCGTCACGCGGGGCAACCGTTACCAAGGTGACGTCAGTTTCGCGGGAAGCTGCCCAAGGGGCGGGGCCCATCGCTCAGCGCGGGCGCCTTGTCCATCACAGAGCCCAGGGAACCAGAGAACAGAGAGAGACCATCTCATATTGGAGCAGGATTAGGCCATTCATCCCATCGAGTTTGCTCCGCCATTTCATAGAATCCCTACAGTGTAGAAGCAGGCCATTCGGCCCGAAAAGTCCACACCGACCCTCCAAAGAGCATCCCACCCAGACGCAATCCCCCTACCCTATCCCTGTGACCCCACATTTCCCATGGCTAACACACCTAACCTACACATCCCCAGACACCATGGGCCATTTAGCATGGCCAATCCACCTAACTTGCACTTCTTTGACCATGGGAGGAAACCGTAGCACCTGGCAGAAACCCACACAGACACAGGGAGAATGTGCAAAGTCCACACAGACAGTTGCTCGAGGCTGGAATCGAACCTGGGTCCCTGGTGCTGTGCTAACCACTGCGCCACCGTGCTATCCGTCATAGCTGTTATGTTTCTCAACTCCATTCTTTTGCCTTCTCCCCATAACCCTTGATCTATCTATCCTGTCTTAAAGGCACTCAATGACTTGGCTACCTCAACCCTCTGAGGCAATGATTTCCACAGATTCACCACCGTCAGGCTGAAGAAATTCCCCTTCATCTCAGTTCCAAAGGGTCATCACCCTTTCCATCTGAGGCTGTGCTCTTGAGTCCTAGTCTCTCCTACTAGTGGGAACATCTTCACCATGTCCACTCAATCCAGGTCTCTCAGTATTCTGTAAATTTCAGCCAGATCCCCCCCCCGCCCCGTTCCTTCTAAACTCCATCGAGTACAGACTCATAGTCTTCAACCGCTCCTCATTTGACAAGATCTTCATTCCCAGGATTATTCTTATGAACATCCTCTGGATTTACTCCAATGCCAGCTCATCCTTCCTTAGATATGGGGCCCAAAGCTGCTCACAATATTTCAAATACAATCTGACGAGAGCCTCAGCAGTACATCTCTATTCTTGTATACTAGCCCTGTTGAAATGAGTGCTAATTTTGCTTTTTCCTTACTAACTGCCAATTGAACCTGCGTGTTAACCTTAAGAGAATCCTGAGTTAGGACTCCCAAATCCCTTCATGCTTCAGATTTCTGAAGTCTTTCCCCATTCAGTCTATACCGCTATTTTTTCTACCAAAATGTATAACCTCATACTTTCTCACATTGTATTCTATCTGCCACTTCTTTGCCCACTCTCCCAGCCTGTCCAAGTCCTTCTGCAGCCTCCTCACTTCCTGTCCCTCCCCTTATCATGTGTCATCTGAAAACTTGGCAACAATGCCTTTAGTTCCTTCTGAGAGTCAGAGTGAGGGGAAGGCGGGGGTGGGGTGGGCATAGAGATCCAGTGTACAGGGGGGACAGGTAGTCAGAGTGCAGTGTGTTGGGGTTGGGGGACCAGAGAGTCAGAGTACAGCAGTGTCAGGGGTTAGAGGAGTGAGAGATCCAAAGTATGGGAGGGGAGAGGGGCAGAGAGATGGAAGACAGAGTTAACATTTCAAGTCCTGTGACCATTTTTCAGAATTCAGCCAACCTGTCTATTTGAGTCTGTATCTGCCCATTTTACACTCAACCCACTCCCCTCCATTGCAAACATATCAAGTAAACATGACAGATTTGGCTGTATCATCTCTCCCTGTTTAAGTATCGAGTTACCCTCATAGTTGTATCATCCCCTCTGCATCCCAGCATTCTGCATCCAATTCTGATTGAGTTACCTACCCACCTATCAATAGCATTGACTGCCCAATTACCTCAGTCTGATCTTTAATGGACGAACCCCTCCAAACTGACCATGACCCCGCTGTTGAGTGATTTAGCCATATAGCCATGTTGCTCTGTACACTACTGGCTCAATGTGCAGGTGTGAGATTGGCATAGCAATGTGCCATAAAGCAAGATATCCACACCTTGTCTGATGACTGCTGACAGCTTCTGTCTGAGAGAGAAAATCACAAAATGGCAAGACTAAAACAGCAACTAAACAGACCGGGGATGCATCTCAAGCCTGTCCATGTGCCTGTCCCTGCACACACTATAACAATGGAGCAGCATTGCAATGAGACGTACCAGAATTGTAATGAAAGTGAATCAGAAATATGTGATGATATTGCAGAGAGGCTGGTACATTGTCAGATGCCACTGTACATGGACATGGGCTATGTGAAGTCCCTTGGTCTGTGCCCAGAGGCGTTGGTGCCGGGTGTCCGAGATGGAGTGGTCGTGAGGATAACCCAGTCAGGGAAACATACTGCCACCAGTCAGGGGTCTGTACTTCTCATCATGGTTAACTTGCTCAAAGGGGAGAAATGTTAATTTCACTTTATAGCCCATTCAGATATTCATTTTAGGTACATTGCTCATTAATTCAATAATTATTTATAAATTAATAATAACAAAAAAGGAGGAAATCTCCCTATTGCAGATGTCTTATTTTAGACATATGGGCAGAACTCAGGAATAAGAGATACGCCTCCCAATAGCCAGTTGGAGATAGAGGAACAAGTATATTGGCAGATCATGGAAAGATATGAAAACAACAGAGTTATTGTGATGCGTGATTTCCACTTCCTCAGTATTGACTGGGACTCCTTTGGTACTGTGGCAGAATTTATTAGCTGTGTCCAAGAGGCTTCTTGAAACATTATATAGACAGCCCAACTAGCAAAATGGCCATTCTTAACCTTGTATTGATGTGGAGGTGCCTGTGTTGAACAGGGGTGGCCAAAGGCAAACATCACACGACATTAGGTTAAAGTCGAACAGGTTTATTTGAAATCACAAGCATTTGAAGTGTAGCTCCTTCGTCAGGTGCAGTGAGAGGAGAGCACACAGACGCAGAGTTTATAGGCAGAGAGATGAAGGGCACAGAAATCAAAGGATCATTCAACTGGTGTGAGTGAACAAACCTAAAATGGCTGACTGCCTGCCTCCTGTTGAATCTTTAATCAATTTCATACATTCCTGCATTCTAGAAATTGCAGAAGCAGTGTATGGAAAACTCTGTTAGAAAGGAGGTGCAGGTTTCCATTGATTAAGATGCAAATTCCAGAATCTGTTTCAAGTCACTGCCCTGCGATAATTAAAGCTTTCATCAATGTCTGCCTAACCTTCCAAACTTCAATCAGGCAGAGCAATAGGAATATAAAAGGTGACATCTCAGGTCAGATACTGAATTGTGGTGTGAGGCCTTGTTCAGAATTTATCTCAGAGTTTTAATCTGGAGTCAGGCTGGTTTTATTTCCAAAAGCAGGAATTTATACAATGCCACGCTGACTGACTGTGACTACAAATTGTGTGTTTCTTGAATAAAATAGAATGTATCTGCAAATAAACAAACATGTTGGATGAAATGATTCACTCCATAGTTTTATATGTGTGTGTGTGTGTGTGCGTGTGCGTGTGCTTGAGTGTGAGTGTGAGAGTATTATGTGTGTGTGAGAGAGTGTGTTTGTGTGAGACATTGTGTGTGTATGTGTGCATATGTGTGTGTATTTGTGTGCGAAAGAGAATAATAAGTAAACCAAAACTGTGCAAACTAATTAAGGTAGAGAGATCATAACAATTTTTCAAGGTGATGCTGTCAAAACAGGACAGTGAGGAAGATTTTACAGATACAGAACAGTGTGGTAGGACCACCTGTAGCGTGACATGAACCCAACTTCACGGTTGAGGCCGTCTTCATGGGTACGGAACTTAGCTATGATTCTCTGCTCGGTGATTCTGTGTTGTTGTGTGTCTTGAAGACTGTCTTGGAGGACGCTTACCCGAAGATTGGAGGCTGAATGACCTTGACTGCTGCAGTGATCCCCCGCAGGGAGGGAACATCCCTGTCTGGCGATTGTTGTGCAGTGTCCATTCATCCGTTGTCGTAGCGTCTGCATGGTCTCGCCAATATACCATGCCTTGGGGCATTCTCGCCTGCAGTGTATGAGGTAGACAACGTTGGCCGAGTCACATGAGTATCTGTTGTGCGCATGGTGGGTGGTGTTCCCACGTGTGATGGTAGTGTCCATGTCGATGTTCTGACATGACTTGCAGAGGTTGCTGTGACAGGGTTGTGTAGTGTTATGGTCGATGTTGTCCTGAAGTAGTTTGCTGCGAATGGTGATCTGTTTAAGATTTGGCGGTTGTTTGAAGGGAAGAAGTAGAGGCGTACAGAAGATCTTGGTGAGATGCTCATCGTCATCGATGACATGTGAAAGGCTGCAAAGAACATGGCATCTTCCTTCTGCTCCGGGGAAGTACTGGATGACAAAGGGTACTCTATCGGTTGTATCCTGTGTCTGTCGTCTGGCAGAAGAACCGCCAAACCTTAAACAGACCATTGTTTGCAGCAAAACTGCCCAGCCTTCAGGACAACACCGACCACAACATCACACAACCCTGCCATGGCAACCTCTGGAAGACATGTCAGATCATTGACATGGACACTACCATCACACGTGGGAACACCACCCACCACATACACGACAGATACTCATGTGACTCGGCCAATGTCGACTACCTCATACGCTGCAGGCAAGGATGCCCCAAGGCATGGCATATTGGCGAGACCAGGCAGAAGCTATGACAATGGATGAACAGACACAGCACACAATCGCCAGACAGGAATGTTCCCTCCCATTTGGGGAACACCGCAGCGGTCAAGGACATTCAGCCTCTGATCTTCAGGTAGGCGTCCTCTAGGGTGGACTTTGAGATGGACAACAATGCAGAATCGCCGAGCAGAGACTTGATAGCTAAGTTCCGTACCCATGAAGATGGCATCAACCATGATCTTGGGTTCATGCCGCCCTACCGGTGACTCCGCCACATTATTCTGTATCTGTAAAATCTTCCTTACTGTCCTGTTTTGACAGCATCACCTGTGATAAATTGTTATGATCC